GGCCATAGCACTGGTACCACCATCAGATTCCAACAGCTTTGAGGGAGCAATCACATTACAATAACTCCTTCTGAAGATTAGTTGAAAATATTTTACAGGACCAGAGAGCACATCGTAAGTCAAAGTGAATAAAAATCCGCCGAATCACTACAGCTTCCTCTGCAAAATAGAAAACATGAGTGGCAACTGCTGTGAGACAGAGCATCAAGAATTACTGTGATGAACATCTTAAAAAAAAAAAAAAAAAAGTGGGGGGAGAAAAAAAAACCACCCAATCTATGCTTTTATCAGAAGCCACCCTAGATAGAAACAAGGTAAAAAAAAATTACTGATGTGCCCAACAAGAGCAGTAGTAAACTGCGACAAAAGTCAGTACAGAGCATGTTGTGGACCTTAAGCACTAGACTGCTATAGAATAAAGACAAAATAATTCAGGAGAATAGGATCAGCAGAACAGTGGCTTAAGGGGCAGGGGGGCAGAAAGGCTAGGATTGCACTGACGTAATCTTTCCCTTTCTTAAGAAATAGTTTGACAATTAAAGTCATTATTGTTTAATTGTAGTTCAGCACTTCTAGGTTATAATTTATAATGTTAAGAATTAAATTCCAGCCTTTCATCTACAGACTGAATAAGTTTCTTTGATTTGTAAAAAGCAGGCTCTTTTAAAGTTAAACTTTTCTGGTCAGTACTCTAAATGTTAATTCAGCTTTAGTCTGCTGAAATTGGCTTTATCAGTGAAACTGATGTCCTTAATCATTAAGCTATTTTAAGACCCACACCAGCCGATATTAAAGAGTCAGGGGCTATTTCCATTGTCTGGAAGGACGGCAGACCAGGCCTTTATTGCTTTCTCTGACCCTGGGTTTAATATATCTGAGTTTCCCTCTGTAGGAAAGTCCCATTTTAATTATTTATCTGTAACCAGCTACTGTATACTTAATACTAAAATTCAAGGCAGTATTCTCTCTCCAGACTAATACGAAGTATGCTCTGTATCTGCCTTCTTCACGTAAAAATGATTCAGAGGTTCACTGGAGTACAAAATAACTGACATAGGTGTTGAAATACAAAACTGCAAGTCAGGAAGATGGCGAGACATGGTGGGGGGCAGGAATAAAAGATCTAAGATTCATGCTCACATCAACTTTGTGATCCTGAATTTCATACTTAAAATGAACATTATGTTGCTTTTTGCTGTGAGCAGAAATTACACTTCATGGCAAAGCTAAATCCACAGCAGTGAAAGTTGTGTTGTGGTTGTCTTGGTGATGTCAGAGGAAGAGTTAGGGGTAGGTTCACTGAGTATCATTTCTCTAAATACGGTGCTTTCCAACCCACCCACACAAGTAAAACAAAACTGTGATTCAGAAGCAATAGAAATCTTTTTGAAAGTTGAGAAAAGCAGGGACATTTTTGGATCACTTAACATTGTTAGCACTAGGACTTTATCCAAATCTCACGGTTAGTGTCAATGGAGGTCTTTTTATTGATTTCAGGGAGCTTTGGGTTGTGCCCTTTATGAGCAAAACTGGTTTACACCTTGCTGAGGAAAGCAAGGAGAGCTTGCTGATGGACAGTGGAGGGTCTCCAAGGTGGTCAAAAGGCTGGAGCACTTGCCTTGTGAGGAGAAGCTGAGGGAATTGGACTTTGCCTAGAGAAGAGAGAGCTTTGGGGGAACCCAATAGCTACTTTGCAGTACCTGTGCGAAGAGCAGCAAGAACATGCAGCCAGGCTCTTTACTGAGGTGCATGAAGAATGAAAGGCAACAGTCATAAAACAAAGCAGGGAAAGTTCCGGCTGGATATGAAGAAGACATTTTTTACTGTGAGGATAACAAGCAGCAGAAGAAGTTGCCTGAAGAGGTTGTGGAGTCTCCGTCCTCAGAGGTTTTAGAAACTGAACTGGGCAAATCACTAACCACCTTGGTCTGAATTCAGTGTTGACCCTGTTTTGATAAGGAGGTTGGGTTAGGTAACCTACCAACCTTCCATTCAATCTAATAATTCTATAATTGTTTTCAAAGCCAAAATTTAACAGGAATTTCTCCAATAACATTTAAAAAATTAGTAAACATTATCAAACACCTATTGGTCTCAGTGATGTGGGATTGAGTGATAAAGAAACTTGCATTGTGCTCTGGGCATCAATCCTGTATGGTGTACACCAATTCCAGACATATACTTTGAAGAATTCTAAACTTTTTGCAGGATCAGGCACAAAACTTGACATTTGTGTCAGTGATCACTGGTGTGCACTGTACATAATGTGACTATTTGAGTTACCATGCTGGTAAGAATTGTGTACATTGTCAGTGTAAAACCTCTATGAACTTCATGTCCAATTTATTTACCCATTTTCATTTCCCAAAAGGGAAACTAATGAAGGTATAATGAGCATGGAGCCTAAGAGATTTGACTATTAGGAGTGACAGACTTTAATACTTGCATGGAGAATAAAGTTGTTGTTTATGGATATTAAGTAAGCCTAACTATAATGTCTGTATGGAAGCTACAGCAAGCCAATTTATCTCTACCAGTCATAAATCAATCACATTAAAAAGATTCCTTCCCTAAACAGGTTTTATTTATAATAATCTAGGGTGTATCCCATAGTAAGGAGGGTGTTCACTATTTCACCAGTATCTGAATGTAGTTACACCTTTCCAAAGGGACATTAGCATACATTGAAACTGCAGAGCTGAACTAAGTATCTGGAACCAGATCAGAGTCAGTGCAGACAGCTCATTATTCAGCTCTTTCATGGTAAATATAGTCAGTCATTAAAAAAAAAAAGGGGGGGGGGGATATCTAAATATTGCCTTAAGGAAATACTGATCTAAAAAGCATATAGAAGAAATATGGCCTAGGTCCTCAGTTGGTGTAAACATACATAACTTTGTCAAAGTCAGTAAAGCTTTGTTTTACACAAGATGATGGTTAATCTTAGGTAATCTCCTAACTCCTCTCTTACCCAGATATCCTTCAAATATCCTCATTACTAATCCACTGCATATTCCCACGGTCTTCATAATGAACCTTGTGAAAACTCATGCATTCTTCTGTGGCTCTTCCCAGATTTGCATATGTTTAGATATATTCATTAGGTACAGTGGACAGGATACAGTAACACTAAACTTTTCCTTCAAGTTTTCTGCACTCAAAAATATCGATCCTCACAAGTGCATACATAGGTGTTTTGCTGGCCAAACAATGTCACATTCAGTTACTCAGTTTGGGTGCAAGAATGTGGATTTTGTGGATATTAGGACGTTTTGAAATAAATTGTTTTGTGATACAAATTGTTCTGTGAGCACTGCAGCTAGTAACAACTGGTTTCTTCCAGATTCTTTTGACTCTGTATTCCTACTTAGTTCCTCCAGCCACAGCAACAATTAACAGCAGTTAATTTCCCATCCTTGTTCCTTGAATCTCCGTCTACATTCACAATCCATCAGGTCCTTTCCGAGTCAACCACTGGCTAAGTAAAAGATGGTTTGTACTGTGACTGAGTCTGAAGGATGCATGTACTGCTTGGCTGATGCTCAGCCAATAGAACAAATGACTGTTGAGTTTAAACTGCTGTATTTTTTAACTGGAAAAAGAATTTGGTTCTCTCACCTCTACTGAGCAGTGTTTTCACAAAACTTCAGAAGAGATTGTCATTCCTCTGCCAAATATGATAGAAATTCACTATCAAGTTCAAAGTTACTGGTAGGGACAGATGGATGGACAGATACACAGAAATACAGCCAAATTTTCTGAAGAAAACAGAAATGCCTGGTATTGTCACTGAAAGAACATGAAGAATTACACTATTTAAAAGACTTTTAATTTTGATATCTGGATTCTAGCATCCCTCATCACATATGCACCATTTTGCTGGAGCACTCTTTGCAAGCATAATATTCAGCATGGCAGGACTTTCTGCATTTGAAAGAAAATGCCTTCAAAGAGCAGCTGAGGAAAGTTATTTCTGAGAGCAATCTGGCCTTTTTATGGGTTAGTTTAGACCAGATGCTGTATGTGAGCATGGAGAAAAGTTTTCATATTGTCTGTCTTCTGCAGCATCGTAATGAAAAGGATATCTATTATTCAGAAGGAAGAAAATCAACAATATTTTGCTTTTTTCCCACAAAGTATCCAAGCACCTAGAGGTAAGGCAAACAAATCTCCAGAGATGATTCAGTGATTTTTGACTTTAAGGATTTTAATCCTCTTTCTGACGTCAAGATACCCTCATCTGCAAGAACACAGGTCTGTTTCCACAGAGGTGGTCCAGGTGGGCACTTTATACATATCTCTGTGTGTTTGCACATGTGCATTTAACTCTTTTGAAAGGAACTGATTCCAAAACAGCTGTGCAGACAGAACAGGTTTGTGTGGTGTTAGTAGAATGAATCAAAACAACAGAAGAGATTGGAAAGGGACTATAGAATTTGTAATAAGTCTGAAAAATGATACTTGAACTCTACCTTCCTTCTGTGTGAGAGCAAGGAAGTTACAGCTTTTCCTGACCAAAGCCATAAGCGTTCAACAAAAGTATCAGTAAAAGCTGAGCCTGCTTTTATCAAATTATGATGTGTAAAGTTCAGTCTTGTGGAAAAAGCAATCTAAAGCATGAACAACCTTCTAATAATATTTGTTCAGTAAGTCATTCTGCTGATAAACAATCAAAGTCAGACTCCTTAGTCTGAATGTTTCCATAGGGGATATCTACTAAAATAAAATGCTTGCTTTATTAGCTAACTACATGCTATGAGCTAGCTATACTTCTGCAGAGTTATTCGTGTGCAACTTTATTATATAAAATTTCATGAGTATTTTGATTTACTGTGAGTTTATTGTATGTGTTACACTTCATTTGAATAATATTTGATACAGTAATGGAAGGGCTACTTTTAAACATAGAAAATTCTTTCTCCAAAGCCTTCCATCTTTCCCTGTATGTGTATTTTAGAGAGGTCACAGATGTCATCTTATCTAATTTCCGGTAGTTTTACCTCTCTGGTACTGTGGGGAGCCATTTTCCGTATGTAATCTCTGATAATGATGTTGCCCTGCATTGCTGAATCTGGCAGAACTGCTGCTGTTAACATTTTGTACATCTCATTCTTGATCTTGGGGGACTCCATCCTATCCAGTTGTTCATATAGAACATATGTAATTACTAATATGTGTAACATAAAATATAATAGAGATAATCTTAAAGAACCAAGTAAATTTTGTAAGTAATACTTCCAATTCTTTTTTCATGTTTCTTATGCTTCTGAATTAATGGTATATTAATATTTTGGGATTCCTTGAGAAGTATCTTTAAGTCTAAAGTGTGCTTTTAAGACTTGTTCTTAATCTAAGGTTGTGTTTAAGAAGAGTAGATAAGAAATTAATGTGACAGCCTCACCACTCAGTCCTGCACAGGCCCTGCTTTCTTGCTCATGATTTGCTAGAAAGAGTGATTTTTCTGCTGTTTTGTTGCTGAGTCTCATCTGAGAAAACTGCCACTGCTCCATGACTGACTTTATCTTGAGGAACCAGCAGACATCCAGGGGAGAACATTTGCGTAGGCTCCGCACTACATGTCCCCATTCTGTCTGGATGCCTCAGCAGGGAAGTCTGCTCCACTGGTTAGGATCCAGTGAGCGAGTTCATACAAACCCCTGATTTCTCTCCCTTCCCATCCCACAACACATGGAAATGGGAAGAAAGAACAAAAATTTAGCCAACCTGAGAATCCATCACAATAGTTTTCAGAGAAAGTTTGTAATCAGGTTTTGATGTCTTTCCTGAGAACGATATGCACCCTATTGTCTACAGTTGCTTCTCTGCTCTCTTCTGTGATTACGAAAAAAAAAGGGCTAATCAGTGTGTCTTTATATGTTTAGAAGCAGAGGGAATAGAGAGATGGTATTCACACCATTTATTTTGGAGTATTTTGGTGCAATTCAGAGGATCAAAATTAGGAACTTAAGTTCCTTCTCTGCTCAAGCGGTCCTAAAGGCTGACTAATGCAGAACGATTACATTAAATTAAACCTAAAATAGCTGGTGTAAACATCTCCCACAGTTAAGAATTAATGTGGAATCTATTAGATTTTTTGATAATGCTATCAAACTACTGCAATATTATTACAGATATCATAATTACTTTAATGACTTAAAACCAAAATAATTTCTTCTATAAGTCATTTTATAATGTACTACCATTAACATCAGGCAACATACTATAAGCAGATGCAGTGTCAATTTAAATACAATTGGTCTCAATAAATTAGTAGAAGAAAAGAAACTGAACTTCCTGACTTCTCCAACTGAAATGGATCTACTAGCTTTGTCAGATGGAGTTATTCCTTCTGTTTTCCTTTAATTGTCAGGAATAGATTAATAACACAGTAATTAAAAGAAAAAATAAGAAACAAAGAAGAAAATCCCTTTTCAGTTCTTAACTGGTCTAGTAAAGAATGCAAGATCCCAAATTGCAGAAAACCAAAACATTAATAAAACTCATTCAATACCTATTTCTTTAGAAAAACAAATATATGCAAGATAATTTTATAGGAAGAAATACTCTACTGATGAGATTGGAATAATTAGTGCAATTATACTTTCAAATAAAATCAGTAAGAAAAAAAAGTTCTTCCTTTAGAAAATTCTTTATTGATCTCTAAATTTATTGGTAATGCACATGCAAAAAGCATGAGAGGAATGAATCATTATTCCTATTAATAATAATTAAAAGAATATGAAGGTCCTTAGTGAACATAATTATCGGTATATCAGGTGCAGAAAGCAATTTCATGTTTTGCTGTCATGAAATAATAACTGTAGTAGCTTTCACAATAGATTTAAAATTGCAGTATGAACTTTTATTTTCTTGAAGAGTGCTAATGAAACCACTTAATATATTGTTATAATTTATTGATGGGGAACAATAATTGATAGCTTTTCCTGTGTTATGGCCCTTATAGAGGTAGTATTTCTCTGCTTTAAAATATTTTTCACACTGTGAACAAAACCAAATGTTTATAAATGATAAAGCTATTTAGTTACTTTATGCAGTTACAGACTGTCTTGTGAAAATATAAACCCACCAAAATAGTGCCATGAGTCACTATCTTCTGAATAACACACATTTTTATTTTTAATACAATTAGGTGATAGTATGCAATTTTGTGTCTTGTGTAACAGCTAAGTGCAAGTATAGAAAACCCACAAACAGAGTCTCACAAAGAGATAAAAGACAAATTATTTTGTCTTGAAAGGTCTAAAATTATGAGACAGGAACTGATAATTCTTTATATTTTAATCTTCATTTCAGACGCTTCCTATATACTGTAAGTAACCCCAGAATTAGACGCAAATCACAAATAAATTAACTTCACCTGGGATTAATTTCTACCAGTGGAGGGAAATGGGTCCCAACATGTATGACGACAACTCAAGAGCAATGAAAAGTTTTGAAAGATTTCAGAGAACAGATCATTATACTCACATAATCTCCACAATACATTTTGATTACAAGTCTTCAAGTTCTGTTGAGATGAAAATAGTAGTTTTCCTAGAATAAAACTAACAGTTCAGTAAACTAAATTGTTATAGTTAACTCTTATTCTGTTTTGGAGAACTGAGAGAAACCATCCAATCAAACCGATACCAAGTACATTAGGCTCCAAGGTAACAATGAAGCAGGAACACCACTTGGTACTGTACGTCCTCGAGTTTTATAGATTCACTGTATACTTAGTCATTAATCATGTGTGAATAAGTGTGATTATAACGTAGGTAAACAGAGTCATTAGCACGACACCCTCTGTTCTGCTGTGTTGATTTTAAGAATCAGAATTCAGCTAGTCACAGAATGAAACGCTCACCTACAGAAAGTGCTTGTGTTAATGATTTACTTTTCAGATTGGGTCTGGTCTAGTTCCTTTTTTCCTTGTGCTGCAATTGCTCAGCTCATCATTTGTTCTAATAACTGTTTGCACCTGGCATGCGTAGGAAGATGCTTTATAGCCCTTACATGTTACTTGGAGTAATGAGGGCAGATCCTTGGCCCTCAGTGGAACCGTGTAGATGAGGGTCTCCCTTGGTGTTTTCACACAAGTTACAATTTGCAAAATCCTGCAAAGAGCTGATCAAAAATCCTGTAACATTGCTGTATTAGAAGACTTATACAGAATCTGAACTATCCAACTGACAGCAAAACCATGTTTTTCATACCTAATACCATGTATTTCTTCTGTTAGTGATAACTATTATTGTGATAAGCCATTGAGAAAATACAAAGTGTTCTCAAAAAAAATAGGAATATAAAATAGAGGTGGAGAACCAGTCTGTAGATCCTCTAGTACAACTTGAATGGAAGGCATAGGCTACCATTATCCTGATTGGGTACCAGCATAGAGAGAGATTTTTTTCTGCAGTAGTTGGACAGGAATAGTAGCTCAAAATCTGAATTAAATGACTTAAATTTTCTTGGTTTTCTTAATGTATCCATCACATGCTTTGTAGCACTTATTAAAAGCTGTATTTTCTTACAATTTAGGAAGACTTTGGAAAGAATGAAAAAAATATTTTGTAGCCTTAATATCTTAGCAACTCTTGTAATCATAAAAACCTATCTCTGGGCTTGTATGAACTCAGCAGTATCGATCTGAGTACAAGCTTTTGCATGTCAGCCTGTGTTAAGCATAAGGACTACATGTGTGTCCTTAGAAATAGTTGGAAGAGTTTCACAGAGAAGCCTGTGCATGTGAAACATGGGCTTCAAACTGGCATGTCTTTGCTTTCTCTTTTTTCGTTAGGGGTGTGGTAGATATTTTTCTTTATTATAATCATACCAAGTACTTATTTTAATCTCTGTATCTCAAGTGCTCTTCAAGGATGGCTGGGGAATATAGTCCCGCTGTACAGCTAAGCAAAATGATCCGTAAAGAATCTGGTCTGGCCAGTTAGAAGACGGCACATGCGAGGTGCCGAAGGTGGTAGCTAGAGTAGGATCCAGTCTCCTGACGATACATGTTTTAAAGGAGTGATAAGAATATGAGAATATTTTAAGCCTCTCTTTTTCAGACTCTAATTTTACATGCATTTCCTTGCTGTGATTAAAATGTAATACAGTTAATCTTCAGTACAACACAAAATGGATTAAGTTTACAGGATTACAACAATGTTTTAGTCTGCTTGTGTCAAAAGTTTCCGTGGTCAGGAACCATAGGGTGTAAATAAGTAGACAAAAATTGTTCTATGAAATACCTGGCATACAGTGTGAGGAAAGCACTTAACTGATTACTGAACTAGATTCTGGTTTTAATGAATCTTTCTGAGAAAAGCCATGAGAGAGTCTAGAGAAAACGGGAGAGAAAGTGTTCAACCGAAGAGGAGGTTTCAGCCTCCTTTTCCCTGTGAATGTCCTTTGGCTGTCCTTTTCTGCTATCTCCCCTCCAAGGCAAGAGGCAGGGCTTACAACAAGGAAATGCAAAATATATTTGGCCACGTAATGCTAAGCAAAATGGATCCAATGTTTGTGTACCAGAGTGAACATGTTGAACCTAATCTCACCTTTACATTTTCTTCAAGACTGAGTAGGTCAGAGGTGTGAATCATTTCTAGGGGAGGAGCTTATCCTGTCTTTTGGGGGAAAACCAAAGAAGTTGTGTTGCAAGTGGTTTTGGCAATCTCACGTTTAAAAAAAATATGGACTACTTGGAGAGACTGCAGAAGAGAGCAGAAATAATTACTTGTACAGAAAGACAGGAAACACTCAGTTTCTTTAGACTAAAGAAAAGTGAAGGAGACCTTAACAGTTCAAGAAAAAAAAAGCTGTTGCAAAGGGAAGTAAAAAAAATTATTTGTCCTCCTGTTCACAGTGGACTGGACAGATGAAAGACTCTTTTTCTGTTTCTCCCTCTATTTAATCTTTGCAATTCTGACCCAGTTATAGGGTGAGATTTTTGTTACTGTTCTGGGCATCTGGTTGCTTTCCTTCCTCTTTTCCTTGCTAAAAAGTTTCCTGTTTCTGTTCCTTCTTAATTTTCTCCTCTCTCACTTTGTTGCGTGTTGTTCCTTTTTGGAGAGACTTAATTCTTTTCTGTAGGAGCAAGGAGGGGTGAGTTCCTCTTCTTCAGGTCCTCCCA